TCCGGTAGGTGCCGAGGTCGGTGGGACAGGACAGGGCACTGGTGCCTGCCCACTGCTCACAGCCTGCCCGCAGCTTGCCCTCCGGCTGGGCCCATACTGGCCGCGTGAACCCTGGCTACGAAGTGCAGCTGACCTTCGCCCTCCGGCAGCGCGGCATGAGGCGCCTTGCCTGGCTCATCAATGCTGTCTCCGACCCCCACTCACCACAATATGGTAATGACTGTGCACCTGGGCCCTGCCAGGCCCTATCAGGCCTTGCGAGCAGGGTGCTCTGACCCTCTCTGTGCCTTACAGGCCAGTACCTGTCCCTGGAGCAAGTGCGGGACCTTGTCCAGCCATCCCCAGCCACACTCATGGCAGTGCTGAAGTGGCTGCAAGGCCATGGTGTTGAAAACTGCAGGACCGTTACCACCCTTGATTTCCTGGATTGCCGCATGCCAGTGAGGTGAGCCTTGAGTGGGGCTGGCCCCACTGTGGTGGCTGTGCCATTCCCAGAAAGACAGAAGAAGACAGACCCTACTCCTGCCTGCTGCGACTTTCCCTTCCCCAGTGTTCTGCAGTGCAGTCCCGGTGACAGAGGACTGAGCCACATTTCTGGGCTCCACAGCCAAGAGCTGGCTGCCTGTGTGCCCAGTTCTGGTGCTGGGGGGAGTCACAGCCAGTGACCTGGTGTACTGGAAACAAGGTGTGCATATCTGTTAGGTACCTGGGCCAGTCCAGCACCTCCTCTTGCCTTCCGAGGGGCCGCAGAGTCCCCGCTGGAGGCCTGGGGATAGAGTTGGAGGGGACCCTGCAGCATCAAAACTCTGGTTTGGTTTGGTGATGGGAATTGGTCAGGTATGGAAGGTACATTTTGCTTTGAGGTCAGCTGTGCTGATGGGAAGTGGAGCTCATCCCTGACTCGTCCCAGCAGCAAGTGGGGTGGAAAGGGGGGGGGGGCAGGGCAGAGAGCGGGCATGCTGCTGTCATGGCAGCTTGCGGCGGCTGTCCCTGTGTTTCAGCACGGCTGAGCATCTCCTGCCAGGGGCTGAGTTCCACCGCTACGTGAAGGGCCAGCACAGCGTTGTGCGCTCCCCGCTCCCCTACGCTGTCCCCGAGGAGCTGGCTGAGCACGTTGACTTTGGTATGTCCTACATAAGGGAGCTGAAGCTGCTCTGAGCTCTTACTGTCTGGAGTGCATGTGGGAGGTTAAGCATTGAGTAGCCAGGACTGGCCATCTTGGTGTCCCAGAGGACAGTGTGGCACACCTTCCAGCCGCGATCCCGGCTGCTCCTAGGCCCCCCTGGTGAGCTTTGTGCATAGGATGTAGGTGCCCCATCCCTGGGAACATCCCAAGTCAGGTTGGACAGGGCTCTGAGCAGCCTGCTCTAGTTGAAGATGTCCCTGCTCGCAGCAGGTGGGTTGGACTAGATGGCCTTGAAAGGTCCCTTCCAACCCAAACTGTTCTGTGATGTGGACAGGCAGCATTCAAAGTGTTTCTTACTGGTGCTCTTAGGCCTGTGTGTTCAGTGCAGAAAGCTCAGGTGCAGCCTGTCTCTGAGGACATGCAGCTGCTTCTGGGATGGGAAAAAAACCCTCCTGTGAGTCCTTTCTGTGTGGGCTCCCATGGCCATTCCACGAGGAGAGCAGAGGGGTGCCAAGCTGTGGTAGTGGCCTGGCAGTGGGGAGACTGAGCTGTGCAGCCTGGAGTGTTTATAAGGAATGGTGAGGAAGCTGAGGAAGGACTTCCCTGCCTCCTGTGCAGTGCTCGGGGCCAAGTGCTGCAGGGGATGGGCTCCCCCAAGCCCTGCTGCAGGCCAGCCGTCTCAGACATGAAGCCTAAGTGAGGATGGTGAAGGGGGAGCCAAGGGGCCATAATGCTGTCCTGGAGCTTTGGGCCCTAACAGATGCTTCTTTTCCTGCTTGCTTGTGCACCAGTGGGTGGCCTGCACCGATTCCCCGCAGAGAGAAAGGTGGTCAGCAGAGCCTGGGCCAAGAAGGAAACAGAGTCAAGGCAGCACTATGGAGGGAGAGCGGCTTTCCACCTGGGTGTGACACCCTCCATCATTCGTAAGAGATACAACATGACAGGAGGAGACATCGGGCTACTGCCAAACAACAGCCAGGCCTGTGCCCAGGTAACTGGTAGAGCTGGTCCAGGTCAGAGGCCTGTAAACCATGGGAATTCCACAGATTGGTGCTTCTCCAGCACTTTGCTGCTCTGGTGGTCCCAGGACAAATGTAGGGGTTTCTCAGCAGCTGGTGGGAGCACCTGGTGGGCTAGCATTTCACAGACCCATGTTGGGGCAACTTTCTAAGCCAGGAGAAAAAACTTGCCTTGTTTTTTCAAGAGAAAACAAGAAAAAACTTGTCCACTCCTTGTCCCCACAGTTCTTGGAACAGTATTTCCACCAGGCTGACCTGGCTGAGTTTATGCAGCTCTTTGGCAGCAGCTTCGGCCACCGCTCTCAGGTTGACCAAGTGGTTGGGCACCAGGGCAAGGGCAAGGCTGGGTTGGAGGCCAGTCTGGATGTGGAATACATCATGAGCACAGGTGCCAACATCTCCACATGGGTCTTCAGCAATGCAGGTACTGATCCCCCTCCAGAGCTGCCCTGTGACTGCTTCCATGCATCCCACTTGCTGTAGCACCAACGTACCTGCCTGCTGTTTAGGGCAACACATTGTATAAAAATGGCTGAACTGAGTCTATCTGGTGTCTGTCAAAGGGGAATGCCCAGAGGGGCATACACAGATGGCATACTGGCTGTGATACATCCCCAGAATGCTTTCCCAGCTACTACAGGCACATAGCTTGTGGACTTCCAAAGTTGGAGCTGATTCTGGTTTCTAATAGCCCATAGGGAAATCATCTTCCATTGATTTCTGTAGTTGCTTTTGAACCTGTGTGAACTTTCAGCATCCAGAGTATCCTGTAATAGGGACTTCCACACCTCAACTACACAATGTTAAAGCAGTCACCCTGCTCTGCTGCCATTCCATGGAAGGAAAGCACAGCAACTGTGTCAATATTTTTTTTCCCTGCATCTTTGGGGTTGAAGCTGATCTCTCGCCCATTAATCTAACAGTAGAGTGGATAAAGGATAATAAGGCAATTTGAGAAAACAAGTTTGCAAAACAGCCTGCACAAATATGGCTATGGTGCTGTAGGACAAAGTGTCATCTGTCCCACATCAGAAACTGGCTGAGCAGGAGACAGAGTGCCCTTGGGACTACTAGCTCAGTCTTCCTGGTGGTGAAGGCAGGCACAGCTCTGCATTAACTTCCACCTCCTCAGTTAGTGATGTGCAAAGGGTGCAGACAAAGGCAGTTACGTGAGCAACTGAGAGTGAGACGGGGTGGCTGGGACTCCGCTGTCCCCTCATGGAGAGGGATGAGAGGCAGGAAGTGACCTTGGCAGATGGAGGTGGAATGTACATCAAACTGCTCTGGGACCCACTGTTACAGGCAGAGGTGCCAGGGCTTGGCTAGGTCTCAGGAGGGCTGTGTGGCTGCCTGGATGGCAGAGGTGGCTACAGCCCTGTGACAGATGCTCAGAGAAGGAGTGGATGAGTGTAGACCCCCTGCTTTGGTGTTCAGGGTGACCCTTCCACCAGACCCGCTGGCAGAGCTGGAGCCTGATGCCATCCACCGTGACAATCCCCGAGGTCAGTCATGCTGCCAGCAAGAGCTCATGGGAGTGCTCCAACCCAGTTGTGTTGTGAATCTGCTCGCTGTAGGCAGGGCAGGAGCTGTAGGACCTTCAGCTCCTGGTGCTAGTAGTGCTGTTGAGGCATGTTCCCTCATGTGCTATCCCCCACTTTCCCTCAAGTCTGGTGTCCTAGGAGGAGCTGAACTTGCCCCCCCTCTGTCTTTGCAGGGAGACATGAGAGCCAGGAGCCCTTCTTGGCCTGGCTGCTGCTGCTCAGCAACATGTCGTCACTGCCTTGGGTGCACTCTGTGAGCTACGGGGATGATGAAGACAGCCTGTCACTAGCCTACATGGAGCGTGTAAATGTGGAGTTCATGAAGGCAGCTGCCCGGGGCTTGACCATCCTGTTTGCCTCAGGTGCGTGCTGTTGCTGGCACAGTGCTGGTGCATCCGAGAGTCCCAGCACAGTGGAGAATGTCCATGCTGAACACTAAGCGGGAACGCTCTGCCTCTGGGCAGCCAGGCTCCCTGCCTGGGAATACTAGCCTGGGAGGTGGAGATAGCCCTTCCCTGAGGTTGCTCCTGGGAGCATTTGGTGGACAAGGGGCAGCTCAGATACTGCTGGATTATCATGTGCATCCCTGTTGGCAGGCGACGATGGCGCTGGGTGCAGAAGGGTGCCTGGTGGGAACCACACTTTCCGGCCCAGCTTTCCAGCCTCCAGGTAGATGTGGGGAGGTGAACCTGGGTCCTGTGGAAACATGAGGCTGTGCACGGAGCTGGCTGTTGCAGCTTGGGCCA